TAGACTGTGACCAGGGAATCCCTGTTAAACTGACTACCATACTTTGGACCACATGAAGTTTCCAAATAGTCTGTAAAAACAACCCCATATACAGTGCATCGTAATTATCTAAACTGAATGTTAGCAGAGCGTGAATAACTATGCTTAGTCCAGGAGAAGCTATTGCTGGTGCACCAGCCTAAACTAATGGAAAGCACTTTGGGCTATGGATTGCTCCTGAACAGCTGTAGTAAAGGCCAGATCTAATAGGACCTACCAAACTTGGGGCTGCCAACTCTGGGTTAGAAAAGTGGGATATAATGCCATAGATTCCACCCTCCAAAGCAGCCATTTCCTCCAGGTTAACTAATCTGTCACCTGGAGATCAGTTGTAATTCTGGGAGATCTCCAGGTCACTCCTGAAAGCTGGGAACACTAAAAACTAGATCATTAAAACAGAGTACATATCTACCCCAAATGATTAGGAAGTGCCTCCTTGATTGAGCTTCAGCTAGTTTTGCATTGATTAGGTTCAGTTTAGCTGCCATCATTCAGCTAGTTACCAACTCTAGGCAACTATTTAGTAGTTTTGCTGCCACTTCTACATGAAAAAGAACTGCATGCCATCAGCACATTGATCACTCCTCATTTCAAACCTCTGAGACTCCCAGAAGGTTCACACTGATGTTGAACAGCACAGAAGACAAAATACATTCCCATAGTATTCCATTGCCCGAGGACCATAGGTAGAGAAGTACCCCAGCACCAGCTTCTGGAACCTACCTGCCAGACAAGAGTGAAATCAGACGAGCGCGCTGCCTCCTTTTTAAATTATTATTTTTATTGGTTTTCTCCAGGAGTTTACATAGTGCAAAGAAACACATTAAGCTGTTGATTCTATAAGATACATTAATGGAAATAACTTATAACTAATCGTGACCTATATAACATCAAATGTCACACTTATATTAAATAATTGAATGGGTATATGGCTATAAAATGTCTATTTTTTGAAGTTGATGTTCTTACATTGTGGATTATGACCTTATGCATTGGAACTGACTTATAAATTTAACCATTTGTGATAAATTTGCTTCAATGGAAGAATATTGTTTGTTACCATGTACTCAAGAACTGGAGCCCATATCCTAACAAATTTAGAATAGACTGGCACATTGGTATTGTTCGCTCTGTTCAAAGAGTCTGTTATTTTAGCCATTATGAATTGATCCCAAATCTTTTCTTGCCTTGCTGATATAGTTGGTGGCGAAGATGATTTCCAAGCTGCTGTTATGGTCAGCCTAGCTGTAGCAAGTAGTACTGAGGAAAGCTCTTTTATATCCCCTGTCATAATGTCATCTCATAAATTTAGCAGGGCCACTTCTAGTTTACATGAAATCATTTGTTTTGTAATGATATTTATCTGTGTAATCACTGCCTCCCAGAATTGCTGTATTTCTCAGCATCCCCACCAGCAATGCAGGTAATTCCCTATCTGGCCACACAGTTTCCATCAAGTAGGGTGATTAGTTGGATTCATCTTACAGAGTTGTCGTGGTGTGAGGTACCACCTCTATGTCAATTTAAAAAATTGTAAACGAATATTATATATTGAAGAGTTGTTTGCATGGGATGCCCATATATTATCCCAATCAGATTCTTGTAGATTCAGATTAAGATCATCTTCCCATCTATTTTGATACATTAGCTTATTTACATTATCCTCTTTCAGTATTATTTTGTAGATTTTTGAGAGCACCCCTTTTGGTGTTTTTGGATACTCCAGGATTACCTTTTCCAAATGTGTAAATTTTCGTTGAAATATTCCTAATCCAGCCAGGTGTTCTATTAAACTTTTTAGCTGCAAATATTGAAACCAGGGGGTCTGTTTCCCCAGTTTTTGATCAAAATATACTTTGTCTTGTATTTCACCATTTCGCACAAGATCCCAAACACCTCTATCCAATTTTTAAATGCATTAGGGAACATGCCCTGTGGGCACCAGTCTTGATTCGTATATGTTGCTAATGGCGATATGCCAGGGGAAAGAAGCATCTTCCTTTGATCCCATATTTTAATTGATGTAAAAAACAATAAATTATTTTTTATGGATTTAGGCCTACTATTTGGATGGATTCAAAATATTTCTTTTAGATTATATGGTTTGGTGTATTTGGTTTCTATTTGCATCCAGGGTTTTTTTTGGTCTTTATATAACATTTATTTGGGATAGTATAGTAGCTTGATAGTAAGAATATAAGCGTGGAAAGTCTATCCCCCCTAAACTCGATGGCCTATGTAGAATGTTTAGGTTAATCCTAGACTTTTTACCATTCCAAAAGAATCGTGTCAAGGTATTCTGCCAGTTATTAAAGTTCTTTTTGACTATATGAATAGGGAGGGCCCTAAATAGAAACAAAATTTTTGGTAAGACAAAGCTTTTAATTAGATGAAGCCTGTCAGATAAAGATGGCTTCAGATTTTCCCATTTATTTAAGTCATTCTTTATGCTTAGGAACTACTTTTGGTAATTGCTTTTGAAGAAATGTTTGGGATTTAGAGACATATGCACCCCTAAATGCCTCCAATCCTCTGTAACCCATTTGTATGGGTACAATCTCTGTACTGAAGCTATTGTTGCCTGTGCTAGATGTATAGGAAATATTTCCGATTTTGAAGGGTTAATTTGCAGTCCTGAGATATCCTTGAACATCGTCAAAGTGCACAGTATTGCCTTTAAAGGATGAGCCATGTTTGAGACATAAAGGGTCATATTGTCAGCATAAAGATTTATCTTATGAACTTTCCCTTCTATCGTTATTCCTTCAAATTTTTGATTAGTCCTGAGACCTTTGGCTAGCGGTTCCATTGCAATAGCAAATATTAAAGGTGACAATGGGCATCCTTGTCTTGCCCCCCTTGTTAGCTGAAAGAATGGGGAATCATTACCATTGACCCGTACTTTAGCTTTATTATTCATGTATAGAGTATGTATTATTCTTAAGAAAGTTGTCTCCAATTCCAAGCCTCCTGACTCCAATCAGAACACACAAGCTAGGAGGATGGCAGAGTCCTTAGCATCAAGAACTACTAAGCAGTTCTGGCAGAGATAATCAATCAGGGTGATGATGAGGCAGTTCTACATCAAATCCAGGCTGGAAGCTGAATTTAAATGGATCCAGATAATCTGATGAAAGTTCCTTAAGTACATGTTCAAGTACTTTACTCAGTAAGGGGAGATTTCCAATAAGCCTATTACTGGAACAATCATCGGGGTTGATCTGGCTGAAGCCTTCAGACATCTGATTCTCTCACTTGAAGTGGTCCAGTCCAACAAGAGATAAATCACGTGCAGCAGAGCACAAATCTTTATTTCGAGCTTTTATTCGGTCTTAAATGTTCCCTGCCTTAAAAGGTTTTATAAAACCTTAAAAGAATGAGATACATTCAACTGTTTAAGCTACGTTTGGGGCCTAAACAGCTTAATTTACCTTTATATGGCTTGATCTTGCCTGATTTTCTTGACAAAGAAAGCAGCAAATTGTATTGATCTCAATGTACCACTGGACTTCTATTTTATTTTGCTCCTAAAGATTAACACCGTTACCTTTCAGAAATTTGCTTGATAACAGAAACACTTCAGGAGTAGTCTCCTCAAAACTAGCTAAATACAGAGGCTTAGAGTTTAGTGGGCCAGCAACAATCAGATTATTTTGTTTCAGATTAATGCAGATTACTTTAGATTCACTGCATTAGTAGTTTTTAGCACCTTTTTTGGGGGGCCGTCAAGTCACAGCTGACTTATGGTGACCCCACAGGTTTTTCAAGACAAGAGACATTCAGAGGTTGTTTGCTGTCACCTGCCTCTGAACCCCGGACTTCCCTGGTGGTCTCCCATTCAAATACTAACCAGGGCCAACCCTGTTTAGTTTCTGAGATCTATGAGACCAGGCTAGCCTGGCCTATTCAGGGCATTAAAAGCTTAGTGGCTTTTTAAAATAGTAACTTTAATATTAGTGTCTGTAGCCTGACCCAGCGTCTCTGGATTTACCCCCACCCAGCCAAATACCCACAGGATGCCTAGGTAGTTTCGACACTAATTCCACTGTACCCACAGACAAGTATATAGCTAGCACATAAGAACTACTCCCATGGCATGTCTGAACATAACTGATGTTTGCACATGTTGAGTGACAGCTGTCACATGACCAAAATAAGGTAGGCAGTGGGCTTCAATCATTTCACCATCTACCAGCTGCAACAAGGACTGAGCCCATTTCTAGGCACAGGCTCTGCAAATTAGCCATGAACAGGAATTTGCTCTGGCTTTAATCGTAAAGGTTTTCAGACTCCCAACAATGCTAGCGTTTCTCCTTTGTGCAAAATGATAGCACTATTAGTTAGCACTTGCTCTTGTACTGTACCTCCTTATTTTCTATCAGAGTATTTTTGTCCCGTGTGGATTCTGGCAACATATGTGCACAACAGCAACTGAGCAACCACAATCATATGCAAAACCTTCACTACCCAGAATCCCACCATGTGTTTATTAAACACATGCTGCATATACATAGACTTAGAACAGTCCCGGGCCAATTTGAAGCCAATTTTGACAGGGTGCAAAGGGCTTCTTCAAGTCCCAATTTACTAAACCTATGAGGCCGAATCCGTCACGTACTATTATAGATTCGAGTCCAGCAGCCTCTTAGAGACCAACAAGATTTTCGCGGTATGAGCTTCTGAGAGTCAGAGCTCCCTGGATTCTCAAAAGCTCATACCCCGCAAGATCTTGCTGTTCTCAAATCTAGATCTTCTACTGCAGACCAACATGGCTACCCTCTGAAACTATTAGGGACTTTGAAATGGTGGAAGGCAAGATGTTGGAGAATCCAGCAAAGTCACCTTCTTTGCTCCTAAGCGGTGTGCCTTCCTTGCTCTTTGTTGTGCCTTCCAATGAGCAGAGACAGAGGGCATAGTCAGACATTCCAAAATTGTTTTAATGCAGTCTACAAAAAGATTGGCAATCATGTCCCCACTTCTGCTTCAACCACTTCAGCCACTGTATTGAAACCCACACCCTCCTGAATAATGAACATACCGCTGGGGGAGCCCGGCTCCTGCACAATAATGCATTTTCCCTCAGCGTCTGAGAGTGTGATCTCAACGACATCCTTCTGCCTGGCAGAGTCCCCTTGTGCTCCAAAATAGTGCCCATCTTTGGCGATGATGAGTTCTGCTTTGTTCACTGGTGCTGCCATGTCCATAGAGTGCACTACCAGCATTCTAGGTTGTTCTGGCAGCTCCTGCAGACACTTAATGAAAGGCTTGAATACATCCTTGCCTGGGTTTGAGTTGTGTTCAAGCTGATGGTGCTGCAGATTCCGGGGGAGAGCATAAGCCATACCACAAATGCCACACTGGTGGGGCTTGTCACCATGGTGAGCCTTCTGGTGGCGCCGCAGCTTTGTGGCTAGAGGATAGGATTTGGGACATAGATGGCAGCGGAAAGGCCGCTCGCCTGTGTGCAGGCGCTCATGAGCTCGCAATGTGTGGGGGTCACGCAGTGCTTTCCCACATACTGTGCATAGATGGGCCTCACCTGTGTGGGAGATCAGGTGGCGGCGGAGCTCAGGGCGCTGTGGGAAGGCATCCCCACAAAAGTGACAGCGGTATGGGCGTTCCCCTGTATGAAGCCGAAGATGCCCACGCAAATTGCCCTGCTGACGGAAAGACTTGGGGCAGTAGGGGCAAGTGTAGGGACGTTCCCCTGTGTGTAGCCTCATGTGGTTGCGCAGTGATCCAGGATTGGCCAGTTGTCGCCCACATATCACACACTGACAGGCAGCTGCAGAAGAAGCGTTTGGCTCCTTAGCTTGGTGAACGCAAATTGCCCTGCTGACGGAAAGACTTGGGACAGTAGGGGCAAGTGTAGGGACGTTCCCCTGTGTGTAGCCTCATGTGGTTGCGCAGTGATCCAGGATTGGCCAGTTGTCGCCCACATATCACACACTGACAGGCAGCTGCAGAAGAAGCGTTTGGCTCCTTAGCTTGGTGAGTTTTGCGATGAATACGAAGGGAAGGCCGGCGAGCAAAGGATTTCCCACAATCTGGACAGACAAAAGGTCGTTGGCCTGTGTGCAACACCTGATGTTCCTGCAGGTCACGTTTGGTGCCGTAGGTCTTGTGGCACTGTGAGCAGGGGAAAGGCCGTACACCTCTGTGGCCCAATGTGTGTGCTTTGAAGCTCTCTTCTGAGCTATAGCTCTTGCCACACTCTGGGCACAGGAATGGTTTGTGATCAGTATGTACAAACCGGTGCTTCTTCAGGTGGCAAAGCTGGAGAAAA